AATATAGTTCTCGGCCTGCCCTTTTTCCTGGTTTCTACTGGGTCTTGATATAATATATGTCTTTGGGGTCTACACTGTGGTATACCATAAATATTTTTTTTTAATTCTGCTACGTCGCTTGGTTCTGCTATAAAAATATGCCATAGTCAAAAAGTTTTTTTTAATTGTACTAGCTTGAAATTTAAATCAGTAGAATTGCTCCTCTTAAGGAGCAATTCTAGCATTCAGTTTTAGGGGTAAAAAATTATTAGGATGGTTACAAATTAGTGAAAAACGGGTGAAAAATATGGCGTAGTTTTTATTTATCTTCTATTTATTTTATTTATCCTATTTATCTTCTAAGTTGAAAACGTTTAATCAAACAAAATTTATCTTTTAAAACGTGCATTTCAAATGAATAATTAAGATATGATGTTATCTATAGTAGATGTTACTCGAAATATTGCATTTTTGTAAGACGGCAGAAGTCAAGTTTATGTATTCTAAACTTGAGGTATTCCGAGAACTACAAATGGACTGGGAACTCGGGACACCCTCTTTGCACTAAATGTATTATTGCAGAAATGTCGATATCCAAGGAAAGACGTCTTTGCTGTATTTATTGACTATGAAAAGGCCTTTGATCGAGTACAGCATCACAAATTAATTACAATATTAAAAGATAAAGGAGTTGATAGTCAAGACATACGATTCATAGAAAAGTTATACTGGCGTCAAACAGCGACAGCTTGCATAAACGGAAAATCAACAGAAATATGTAAAATACAAAGAGGTGTCAGACAGGGTTGTATACTATCCCCGCTGTTATTTAATTTATATTCAGATAGAATATTTAAAGAAGCGCTGCATAATTTGGAATGGGGCGTGAAAGTTAATGGAATTCTGATAAATACAATCAGATATGCAGACGATACAGTTATTTTAAGTGATGACATGAATGGATTACAATGCCTTTTAAATCCCATTGATACAGTGGGGAGAGAGTTTGGCCTAAACTTAAACTGTTCAAAAACAAAACACATGGTGTTTAGAAGTTTAGCATATCAAGATGCACGATTATATGTTGATGGTCATATAATTCAAAGAGTGTCCAGTTTTAAATATCTTGGTTGCCATATTACTGAACAACTAGATCCAGATCAAGAGATAAAATGTAGAATCGAGATAGCCCGCACGACATTTTTAAAAATGAGGTTATTCTTCTGTAATGATAACTTGAAACTTCAACTTGGAAAGCGTATGGTTAAATGCTACATTTGGTCAGTCCTCTTATACGGTGTCGAAGCATGGACATTAAAAATATCCACCATTAATCGTCTGGAGGCCTTTGAAATGTGGCTGCACAGACGTATACTAAAAATTCCATGGACGGCTATGCTGACAATTGTGGCAGTCCTTGAGAGAGCAAATTCTGCTCGCGAGCTGCTTGATAACATCAAATGTAGAAAGATGGCCTATTTTGGACACGTAGTAACGGGAGACCGATATAATATTCTTCAACTTATTATGATGGGTAAAATCGAAGAACGCAGAGCAATTGGTAGAAAGCAGGCCTCTTGGTTGAAGAATATCAGAGAGTGGACAGGAATAAAGAAAGCTGAGCAACTCTTTAGAATAGCTCGAGACAGAGACAGTTTCGCCATGTTAATCGCCAACGTCAAGGGGACTTGATAGGGCACGTTAAGAAGAAGACAGTATGGAGAGCTTTCCATCGCTTTATAGAGACTGGTACATACTAACGTCGACCTGGTTCCGGTCGTAGAAGAGTTACCTCGCAAAGTGATGATCGTTTGATTGTGATGGATATTTAAAGAAATCGCCATTCCACTGCAATTGCTACAAGAAACCGTCTTCAGAAAGTTCGAAATGTAAATGTAAGTAAGAGAACGGTTAGAAGACACCTCAATAAAAAAGGAATAATGGCAAGAAGGCCGGCTATTGTTCCCAAATTACAACCCAGAAACTGTAAAAATCGACCATTTGTCTTTACTCATGAATCTTGGTTCTGTTTGAAGTTTGGTGATGGCCGAGAGAGGGTTTGGAGATGGAGAAATGAAAGATGTGCCCAAATTTGTATGCCCAGAGAAAAAAGTTTGGCAAGGGGCAATCTCATTTGAAGCTCAAACTGAACTTATTTTCATCAATGGCTCCTTTAATGTTTACCGGTATGCTTTATCGTAGGGTTAGAAGTCAACTAGGCGAGCCAGAAAGTCTTACATTACCTAAAAACATGCTTCGTAAAGAATATGAACGTATTCCTCAAGTTTTTATCCAAAATGTGTTCTTTTCCCTTTCAAAATGTGGGCAAACGGTTATTGATGTTTTATGGCATAATACCAGGAAATGCATAAACGAGGAAACCGTATGGTACAATTTTGTCAAGCGGAGGAGTTAGTCGTTGCTAACACTCTTTTCAAGTTACCAAAGAGACGACTGTACACATGGAAATCTCCGAGTGACACCAAAGGTAGAGTAGTCAGAAACCAAATTGACTTTATCCTTGTTAGTCAAAGATTCCGCAACTCTATATCAGCTATACTCAGCTAAAACCTACCCAGGAGCAGATATAGGCTCGGATCACAATCTGTAGTAGTCACATTAAGAATAAAACTAAAGATCATTAAACACATACAGAAACAAATTGACGTGAGAGGACTGAATGAACAACATATAAAAGAGAAAACAATAGTGAACATCAAAGAAAATTTACAAAATATAGAGAAACTGAATAGAAATACTGATAACATAGACCAAAAATGGGAGAATATTAAACATGCCGTAATGTTGGCAGGCAGAGAAAATTTAACACCGAAAGAAAGGAAACATAAAGAATGGATGAATGAGGAAATACTACAGTTGATGCGTGAAAGAAGGGTACACAAAACAAATAATCCAATAAGATACAAAGAAACAGATAAACTGATAAAAAAGAAAATAAGAGAAGCTAGAGAAAGATGGCTAAGTGAGCAATGCCAGGAGTTGGAACAATTGGAGCGAAAATATGACTTTTTTAATGTACACATAAAGATTAAAGAAATAACAGGAAGGAGAAGAACAACACAGACAGGACAGATCAAAGATACAGATGGTATAATTATAACAGATTTACAACAAAAAATGAACCGATGGAGAGAATACATATCACAACTGTTTGATGACAAAGATAGACAAGAAATCTCAAACGAATATACAGATGATACAGGGCCTGATATAATCAGAGAAGAAATAGAATATGCAATCAAACAAGGAAAAAGTGATAAGGCCCCCGGTCCTGATGAAATTCCCGTAGAACTGCTCAAACTTATGGACGATGAATCTATTAAAATACTCCTAGATCTATTTAACACAATATATAGAACTGGAATAATACCTAGGGAATGACTCCGTTCGACCTTTATACTACTGCCAAAAAATACTACTGCCAAGGTAAATACAAAGGAATGCAACGAATATCGTACGATAGCTTTGATGAGTCATGCTCTAAACCTGTTCTTAAAAATAATCCATAATAGGATCTATAGGAAATTAGACGTAGACATCAGTAACACTCAGATGGGAGTCAAAAAAGGGCTGGGTACAAGGGAGGCTATGTTTGCAATGAACGTTCTCTCACAGAGATGCTTAGACATGAACCAAGAAATTTACGCCTGCTTTATTGATTTCGAAAAGGCCTTTGACAAAGTGCAACATGAACCACTAAGACAAGTTCTAATAAAGAAAAATATAGACAGCCGAGATATTCGAATTATATGCAATCTATATTGGAATCAAACAGCAAATGTCAAGGTTGAGGGCAGACTAACAGAAGAAATTCAAATCCGTCGAGGAGTCCGGCAGAGATGTATCTTATCGCCACTTTTATTTAATCTGCATTATATAAGGTATGCTCAACAATATAAGGTATGCTGACGATACAGTTCTCCTAACGGGAACGCTAGTAGAACTACAACATCTCGTTCAAAGTCTCAATATATACTAAAACTAAATTTATGGTAATCACAAAATCAAAGAACATCAGAGCTAATTTTGTAATAGACAGTACAACGATTGAGCGTGTGCCCTGTTATAAATATCTAGGTGCTTGGATCACAGACGATACTGATCAAACAAAAGAGATTAGATGTAGAATAGAAATCGCTAGATCAGTCTTTAATAGAATGCGCAAACTCTTTTGCAATCGTGACATCAATATAAAGTTACGAATACGAATGCTGCGGTGTTATGTCTTTTCTACCCTGTTATATGGGGCTGAAGCTTAGACACTAAAACAGTTGACCATAAAAAACATCGAAGCTTTCGAGATGTGGTGCTATAGGCGCATTCTCAGAATATCATGGATGGACCGCGTCACTAACACGCAAGTACTCCAAACTTTAGACAAAAGATGCGAAATTCTAAATGAGATAAAAACTAGAAAGATGGAATACTTGGGGCACATTGTGAGAGGTGAAAAGTACGAACTTTTAAGAAACATCATGCAGGGCAAAATTAAGGGCAAAAGAAGTGTGGGAAGAAAAAAAATATCGTGCCTTCGTAATCTACGTGAATGGTTCGGGTGTAGTTCGATTGAACTTTTTAGGCGCGCTGCTAACAAAGTCGCAGTGGCCATGATGATTTCCAATCTCTGCTAGGAGTGGCACAAGAAGAAGAAGAAGGCATAATACCCGATATTTTGCTCAAGTTTACTTGTAATTTATATTGCTTGTAATTCGATTCGATATTCCACTATTTTCTTTTGTAGCGTTCTAATTAAATAAATTATGTTAAGGAATCGAGAAGTAAAGGCCATGTTTTGTTTTAAAAATGAAATATGTTGAGTATACAATATGAAACAGTGCATAAAACTTCCAATGAATTTTTATTTATGGAAATTTATTGGGTGGCCACTTTTTTTGCTGGTCATTGTAGCAAAAAAATCCATAAAAATTAATTTTGATGGCTGTTAAATAAAAAATATTTTTGTTTAAAATACAACAGTGACATTTTTATTTTTATTTCAGATCGAAAAATTTGGCGCTAGCTCTTTAGAAAAATTGGTGATTAAACTACAAGTACCTAAAGAATATCACGAAGCAGGTAAACCACCTGTAAAGTTTCTTATTTCTATTGCTCCTGTTGAAATAATGTTTGGAGGACAATCGTTGAAATGTAATGTAAACGGAACTGAAGAAACTGCTGAAGTGACTACCAAAACTATACTAAACGCTGACGATACAATAGAAACTAGCAAAAAACGAAGAAAAAGACAAGTGGAAACCTTTAAGGAAATTTCAGAGAGCCGCCAAAATGAAAACATTAAGGTCGACGATGAGGAAGTTGAAATCATTGCTAATAAAACTTTGTTTTTGAACTGTTCATCGGAGGGAGTTACTTGTTTTGAAGCTGTTTGTAGTTTTGGACCTTACAGCCAAGAAAATACACCAGCCTCAGTGACTTTAAGGATGACGGTCAATATTACAGAAATAGCAGGTAACGTGAAATATTATTTAAAAAAAGAAATCAAATTAATGTATTAACATTCATCATTCTCTTTACCTTAGTTGTTATGTGACATCAGCTTTCCTAATGACATTTTCCATAAGTTTCTATCTTGGGTCATATTAATATCAATCCCCTTTACTAACATGACCTGCCTAAGCATCTCCTCCCAGGTCTTCTTTGATTTTCCTCTCCTACTCTTTCCAGGAAGCCGCAAACCAGTACTTCTTCATATTGGTTAATTAACGTGTTGACGTTAAACATGACCAAACCATCTTAATCTATGCTCTCTCTCTCTCTGCAAAAATTGGTGTCACACCTAGACTTCCCATAATATACACATTCTTAGTTTTATCTTTTTTTGTCACTCCACTCATTCATCTAAACGTTCTTATTTCCGCCACATGAATTTCTTTGTCCCTCTTTAATTTTAACGATCCAGCATTATGATTCGTACATGATAGCTGATCTTATGGCTATTTTATACAATTCATAAAATTATATTTTATACAATAATTGCACCATCCCAAGATATTATTTTATTTGTAGTAACTCCATCTTTAAATGAACATTTCAAATACTCTGTTTTTGTTCCACTAAGTGTTAAACCTTTTTACTTAATAGCTTGTTTTCACTGTTCCAGTTTTTCTTCTTAGTTGATTTGACTATTTTCTACTTACTTATACATCATCACCATACATTACGCACCATAGAATATACTCTGTAGTTTCGCTGTTATTTGATCCAAAACCAATTAAAATAAATAGGACTAAGCACCGAGCCTTGGTGCAATCTTGCTTTCACATGAAATTTATTAGTCTCTTCCACACCTGTCCTAACACTAGTTGTTATTCCCTCATCCATGTCTCTCATTCTTCTTCTTCTTCTTCGTCTAGCCATTCACGTCCACATCTGAACATAAGCCTCTTCAAGTCTTCCTTTCCATTGGTTTTTATTGTACGCTACTTGTAGCCAATTTTTCCCGGTAGTCCTTTTCAGATCATCTGTCCATCTCATAGGAGGTCTGCCTCTGGGTCTTTTGTGTTGGTATGGTCTCCAGGTTAAAATTGATCTGTGCCATTTGTTTAGATCGCTCCTAGCTACATGTCCAGCGTATTCCCATTTCAGCTTTAATGCTTTTTGCACCACATCGGTGACTTTGGTTTTCTGTCTTATCCATGTGTTTGTTTTCTTGTCCTTAAGTGATATACCTAGCAGTGCTCTTTCCATCGCGTGTTAAGTGACTCTAAGTATATTCATATTCTTTTTTGTGATTGTCCATGTTTGTGCCGCATAAGTTAATATCGGAATAATGCATGCATCAAAAACTTTAGATCTAAGATGTAATTGAATTTGTTGATTTCTGAGTATATAGTTCAGTTTACCGAATGCTGCCCAAGCTAACTTTCTTCTTCTTTTTATTTCTGCAGTCTGAATTTCCCTATTTAGGATTATTTTTTGTCCCAAGTATATATATTCTTCAACTTTTTCTATAACTTTATCGTTTATTATTGTCACGGTGTCTTCGGAGTGCATGACTTTTGTTTTGTTTAAATTCATTTTCAGTCCTATTTTAGAAGATTCGGTATGAAGTTCTACAAGCATGGTTTGCATTTCTTGTAGGTCAGTAGCTATCAGGATTGTGTCATCTGCAAATCGTAGATTACTGAGGTAGCGGCCATTGATGTTTATTCCCTTATATTTCCAATTTAGGTTTTTAAAAACGTCCTCCAAAACTAAGGTGAACAGTTTGGGTGATAAAGTATCTCCCTGTTTGACTCCCCTGTTTAATGGTACAGGGTTCGTGTGTTCATTTTCATTTAGGTAGTATGTAGCTGTAGCTTGGTTCATAGTTTCTTTTAATAAGTTAATATATCTGCTGTCTATTCTACAATTTTGCATTGCGTTTATTACGGCCGTGTGTTCTATGGTATCGAAAGCTTTTTCGTAGTCTACAAATGCAAGGAAAACTGGAAACTTGTATTCGTTACATTTTTCTATTAATATTTTTGTGGTTAACAGGTGATCGGAAGTTGAATAGCCTTTTCTAAAACCTGCCTGTTCATATGGTTGGTATTCGTCTAATTTCCTTGTTAGTCGAGTAGTTATGACTTTGGTGAGTATTTTAAACAGGTGTGACAGTAGGCTGATGGGTCTGTAGTTTTCCAATTTTCGACTATCACCTTTCTTGTGCAATAAGATTACTTTAGAGTTGTTCCAGCTCTTAGGGACTTTGCCCTGATGTAAACAACTGTCCACAAGCTTAGTTACAATTGCAATTAGTTCCTTACCTCCTTCTAATATCATATCTGTGGTAATACTATCTTCTCCTGCAGCTTTATTTCTCTTCATGTTTTCCAATGCTGTAGTTACCTCTGAAATTGTTACTTTTGGCATTATTTCTGATCCAACATTTTTTATTAATTTCCGTGCTGGTCTCATCTCATCATCTTGTTGATGTGATCTGTAAAGTTCTGTGTAAAATTCTTCTATTCGTGTCAGTATGTTTTCTCTACTTGTGATTTCATTTTCGTCTTTTCCATTAATGATATCATCTGACGTCGTCCTAGTGTCGGTCTGAGACATTTCATACTCTTATTTTTTTCAATAGTTGTTGTTATTAATTTTTCGTTTTCTTTTCTTTTTTGTTGTCTGATTCCTTTTTTAATCTGCCTATTAAGTTCTCTATATTCGTCGGTTCCCCTTTTGTTAGATTTATTTAAGATCTTCCTTCTTTCTATTTGTTGTAATATTTCTTTGTCTAATTCATTGCATGTTGTTTTCGGTTTTTTCAGTTGCAGAAGGCTTTTATTCACTGTTTCGGTAATAAGGTTATTCAAATCATCAATATCATTGGAGTTTATCTGCTGCATGCTAACTTGATTTAATGCATGCACTATATTTTTATTAAATTCACTATTTTTGATTTCTTCAGATGTCCATTTGTATCTTTTTTCATGTATTATTTTTCTTTCTAGTTTTTTGTTAATTACTAGTTTTGTTCTTATTAGTCTATGATCGCTTCCTAGGTCAAACTGATTTAATACTGATACGTCTTCTACTAGGTTTCTATTCTTCGTTAAGATATAATCTATTTCATTCTTTGTCTTTTTATCAAGACTCATCCATGTCCATTGAAAAAGGAGTTCATTGAGTACATATTATGTTCATTCATGAAATTGAGAAGTATTTCTCCTCTATCGTTTCTTTTCCCGTAGCCATAGTTACCAATTAAATGTTCATAATCTTCCTCTTTTTTGCCCAATTTAGCATTAAAATCTCCTAATAGTATTTCGTAATTTACTTTATTTGTTTCTATAGCTGTTCTTATTTCATCATAAAATATGTCTACTTCTTCATCGTCGTGGCTTTTGGTCGGAGCGTACACTTGGATCACTTTCAGAGTGGTTCTTTTATTAATCCTGATGATGAGATATGCTACTCTGTCTGATATGGGCTTGAATTCTTCGATACACTGTGTGAGGCTTTGTTGTACCAAGAATCCCACTCCAGTGTATTCGCCACCTTTATGCATAAAATGTGTGCCATTTTTTAGTATTATATACTCATCACTTTTTCTTCTGGTCTCGCATATACCAAGGATATCCCATTTTATATCCTTTAGTTCACTTTCTATTTCTGGGAATCTATTGTCGTCCGTCAGTGTTCGAATATTGTAGGAGCATAGCCAAATTGTCATCTTGTGGCAGCCGGGTCTTACCCAGGGATTCTTAGCACCCCCCCTTCCGTTAGTTGTTTGATCGCTGCCGTGATCAAGACTCTGGGAAGTGCTGGGCACTGGGGGCCTTTTCTTTTTTGTCCTGTACATTGACTTGAAGGTTTGGACCGTTATCTCCTCACGCTGGTCCAGTGCGGGTTGAGGAGGGAAGGGAGGGATTTGGGTAGGTCTGGGTTGGTGGGTAGGATTTAGGGATTAGGATCCGCTTCTCTCCCGGAAGAGGATTGGGAGAAAAAGCCGAGCTCGCGTGGGCAGGGGCGCATCCCTGAAGCAGACCTGTCTTTACCGGGTTCGTAAAGAGTGTCTACCCGCTACCTCCTCTATGTCTCTCATAATCGTTACATATTCACCGGGGACTTCTTTCTTATTGAATGCGCAAAATCTCTCGAGGAACTCTATCATATGCTTTCTTAAGATCTATTAATACCATATGAGCGTTTGTTTCTTTATTTTTTTATTTTTCCACCAACTGCCTTATCATGAAAATTTCATCTTTTTTAGATATGTCCTGCATAAAGCCAAACTCATTATCATATATTTCGTTTTCTTCACGTATCAGTCTATCAATTACTTTCTCCCATATTTCAGGAAATGATTTAATAGTTTTATGCCCCTGTATTTTGTACACTATTGTACACCTCCCTTGTTTTTGTAAACGGGTACCAATATACTGCTTCCCCATTCGTCTGGCATTTGTTTAACTTCTATAATTCTTATTAAATATAATAAACTTGTTCGCCAACTTGTTCCTGTCTCCCCTAATGCTTTACAAACTTCCCCAGAAATATCATCTGGTCCAACCTTTTCTTTTCTTTATTGTTTTGTACACTTTATTTTCTAATAACCAAGGAGTAAGTGCTAGAATCACTTACTCATTTGTTATGTTGGTCACCATTGCTATTACTCTCTCCGTAAACTCAACTGTTTGTCTGTTAAATTCTTCATTTAATAAACTGTAACAGTACCTTTTCCTCTCTTTTGACACCTTTTTCTAAATTAGTATTTTATTATTTTTATCTCGGATACATCTCTTCTTCTTCTTCTTTGTGTGCCATGACTATCATCATATTAAAAAGGTGATAAAATGTTTCTAAGTCGGCAGCTAGATGATACAATTCCTCCACTTGTTTTCTTCCGACCTAGCGTTTTCCCTCAATTTTGCCCTGAATAATTAACCAGAGTAAGAGATATTTAGGTCATCCCATTATATGACCAAAGTATTGGACCTTCGTCGTTGATGATTTTTATCAATTTTCGCTCTTTTGCTTTTCTAGCAAATATTCGTTAGATATGTGTGCTGTCCACGGGATTCTGAGCATGCAACGGTAACATCACAACTCAAACGCTTCTAATTTATTTACATTTTTTACTTTTGTTGTCCTCGTTTCACATCCATAGAACAAAGCGGACCAGAGCACTTCAATACTCTTAGACCTGTGGTTAACAACAGACTTCTACTGCACAATACAGAAAGCAATTTAACGTTAACCTGTGGTTAACAACAGACTTCTACTGCACATACAGAAAGCCATTTAATAAATCTTTTTCATGCAAGTTCAGTTCTGATCGATATTTCCTCGTCACTGCAGTCAATCCAACTACCCAGATATCTAAAGTGTTTCACCCTTTTCAGGATTTTGTAATCTAATTTTAGTACTGAGTCTTCGATATTAAATTTTCGGACCACCATCCATTTTGTTTTCTTTGCGTTGTTTGTTAAGCCTTTTTCAGTGCATTTGTTGTTTACAGGGTTCAACAGGGTTTAAAGATCTTCTAGACTCTCTGCCATTATGGCGGTATTATCTACGTATTTGATGATATTAATAATTTCACCACCGATTTTAACACCTTCCCGACGATTATTTAACGCTATATCAAAATCTGGTTCAGTCTAGGAATTAAACAACATTGGTGACATAACACATTTCTGTCTGACACCACGCTTAATAGAAACATAATAGTATGCATTTTTATTTTTTTGATATATTGGGAGAATCAGTATAAGTCTAAGTTCAAGTTTGTGGGGTTGCCATCTTTGCCTCCAGGCCGGCTTCTTGGAAAAATGTGCAATGCTTAATATCTAAGCTAGAAATTCTACTATAATACTTATAATTTAAACAACTGTTGGGTATGTGTTTCGTGGAAATCTCTAGGATTTTTATCAGCCCAATAACGGCTTGGTTCGATCACGAGTGCAGACAACCAATATAGGAAAGAAATGAAGTACACAAAATGTATATAATAAGAAGAGCACGGGAAAGACGAGCATCATTTAAAGTCGCAAGACGGAAAGCAGACAAGATATGTAGAAATAAAAAAAAGCCTACAAAAATGATCAAATAGAAAAAATGGAAGGAAATTTCAAATACAAAAAAATTGGAGGGCTTACAAATACCTTAAAAACATAAAAATTGGGTATAAACTTGAAACAAGTCTATGTAAAGATGAAAGTGGGCAAATATTCTGCGACCAACAGAAAGTCACAGAAACCTGGTGTAATATTTTCAGACCCCACTTGGTACGCAAGTAGACATGGACGATAAAATGGGTATGACCTACGTAAAAGGGAATGAACTAGAGAGTAGAAGCTTCAACCATAAAGGAAGTTCTCGAAGCTATTAAGGCCCAGAACAACACTAAAGCCCCGGAAGTTGACGAAACTGCCAACGAAAATTGTTGACGAAAACACCAGCAGAATTGTATAAGGTAGGTGGCGACCACCTAGCAAGTCACATCCAAGTGCTCATCAAATACATATGGCAAGAAGAGAAAATACCCGACCGCCGGAAGAAAAGTATGGTATGCCCGATCTACCCGATCTATGGTATACGTATAAAAAAGGAGACAAACTCCAGTGCAAAAACTACCGTGAAATTTCTCTACTATGTACAGAATATGAAGTTCTCACGTAAATTATAAACCAACGGCTCCAACAACTAGCAGAAAATATTATTGGAGAGTATCAGACGGGTTTAAAACAGGCATACGACTGAGTCAAAAGGAACAAACTCTACAATATATTGACTGAATTTGTTAATGCCACACAAGCTTATTAGACTCATTAAAGCCGCAATAGACGAAATTCAGGCATGTGTACGAATACAAAACCACCGGACAGGCTTTTTCAAAATTTCGCAGGGACTAAAGCAGGGAGATGGGCTGGCTCCAATTTTATTTAACCTGGCACTGGAGTATGCGGTTAGGCATATGCAAACTGGACGAGGAAACCTACTGACCAAACTAACTGGCCGCTTATGCCTATGATATGAGCCTATTATATTATGAGCAGAACATCAACAAGAGCACAGTAAACATACGCAAAGTTAAAAACGCAAACAAAAAGGCAAGATCTGGAAATTAACATAGAAAAAAACAAAAATAATTATACAGACGAAAAAAAATATAGTCCCATAAAACATTATACATGAAGATGGTATTAAAACGGTTGGAAAGTTTACATACCTGCAGATCAGAAGATGGAGAAATACGGAAGAAAATAACGCAGCAAATAGAGCTTATTTTGACCACTTCCATATATTTTGGTCTAAAAGTGTCCACCGAAATACAAAGATAAGAATCTATAAAACCTTAATTCGACCAATAGCATGATATTATGGCAGTGAAGCATGGGTCCTGAAAGAAACATCCAAGAGCAAACTCGACACAGTCGAAGGAAAGTACTGAGAAGAATACTAAGACCTGTGTGGGAAACCGGAATCTTCGGAAGTACATACAGAAACGAGCTTTATCAACTTTATAAGGAAGCATCACTGTCAGACTTTATTAGAATACAAAGATTGCAATGGGCCGGACATGTGATAAGAATGGGAGAGGATAAGCTTCCAAAAAAACTGAATGCTAGAATGCAGGGAAAGAGACCGGTTGGAAAGCCAAGAAAGCAATGGGAAGACACAGTAAACAGCGACGTACTAGCCGCTTTTAGGAGTCCGTGTAAGAAGAAGATCAGCCACAGACAAGCAAGGGTGAAGGCAAAAAAATAAAGGAGATCAAGGCTCAATTTGGGCTGTAGTGCCGTAGAAGAAGAAGAACAATTTTTTAACTGCATCCATGACTCCTATTCTTCTTCTTATTTCTATATTTAGTACTTTATGTCTAATGGTAATATCTAACATTGATCTTTCCATAGCGTGTTGTATAATTCTTATTTTATTTATTGTTCCTTTTGACCGAGTGACTGTTTCTGGACCATATTTAAAGATCGGTAAAACACATTGGCTAAAAACCTTTCGTTTTAAACAAACTGAAATATTAGATTTGAAAATGTTCAACCTACCAAATGTTTCATGTTTCGATACTCTGCGGATTCTAGTGCGCAAAAATCCAAATTCTTGAGATATTTTTTTGGTATTTGAAGTAAGTTCCAAATTACAATGACCTAAAATTGTTACTTCTGTCACTTTAATTCCAACACATATTTTACACTCACCAACTACTACACATAGTAGTAGTTGAGTTTGGAATGCAAAATCATTCGTATTTGTGATGATTTCCATGTGCCGACAGCATGACTTTTAATATGATGAAATAAATTTTGTTTATAGAGCCGACGTCTTTTTTATAAATAACGAAATTAATTTAAATATATTGACACAATATACCTGTAAATAAATATGTATAAATTAAAGTTTTAATTTGTTTCAGGAATGGCAAAGACTAAAGACATGGTTCTTATCGCTACAAATGGAGAAGTTATGGTAGAATCTCCAGTTAATTTCATTCAGTATCAAGACAGGTATGATTTTACAAAAAAATCTTTATAGCATTTATCGTAAAATGCACAATGGCTGAAAAATAAATCGGTCTTCTTAAAATATTTTATTTTGAAAATGATTCTGTATATTCACACTGCGGGTGCTTGTTTTCTTTTATCTCCAGCACTTCACAAGATCCACGCAACAATATCGTACAACAAAATAAAATAAACTTGTTTAGTTTTTCTTTTTTGTAACGTTTCTTAAGTTGCCAATAAAGATCATAAGTTTACAACTTGTAAGTTGTATTGCTGCACAGTAGGCTCTTCACCTTGGGAATGCGATTCTAGCTCGTTTGATCTACATTTTATTGCTTGTTTATGATTCCAGTCTTTATTTAATGCCAGCCACTTTCGACAATCACAGTGGCAAATTTGATTCATCCAGATCCATTGTCCCAAGAAGAAGAAAATGACAAAATTTTCATTGTATGGTGCAATTGTGTTTTCGAGTGTTTCCTCTTCTTTCTTTCTTTGTTGTCTTTTATTTTATTTTTTCATTTAAGATATCTCCTAAATACGATAAATTCTTAAATTGTTTGCTTTTACGGGGTGAGTCATGAGGAACTGTACATACTATTACCTCATATGGAGGCCCTTATGGGGAATAACAAATGACCATTAAAAAGTGTATCTCATTGTTTATTACTATACAGGGTGGGTTGGGAATTTTGACTGAAATATATATTCGCCATAACTTTTGAACGGTAACTTCGATATTTCTCATATTTTGGTCAAACGTTGCACTACTACCACCTAATCAACTGATTTATTCAGACTAGAAAAAAAAACATGTACGGATCTAAAAAATTAGTTCGTTTGTTGTCATAATCAAAAAATGGCATATTTGTTTTTCCCCACGTGATTACTTAATTTTTAATAAAAAACCAAATGTGACTATAAATTAAAAGTTTATCAAAGTAAACTATAGATGTAAAAAATGTAGCTTTTATTGCAAAGTTAAATTTTATTTAAACAAACTTTTAATTTAATATTTAACAAATAAACCGGTCTTGATTTATTCCAGTTTGATTTATTAAAAATAAAAAAATCAGGTCCGGTTTTAAAAAAATAGTTTGCTTTGTTCATAGAAAAAAATTTCACCCTATACACGATTTTTGAAAACTCATAAGAATTTTATAAAATAGGCAAATAGGCAAATACAATGGCATATTTATTTTTCCCCATAAGATTACTTAATTTTCAATTAAAAAAATCAAATTTGAGTATGAATTAAAAGTTTGGTAAAATTAACCACAGCTTGAATGAACTCAAAAATAAAGTTGATTATTGCAGCAGCCTTTTCTTATGAGAAAAGTAAAATAGAATTCTGAGACTTCAATAAAACGCCACTAACGATGAATTACTAAACAAATATACATGACAATGTTTTATAATTATCCAAAATATCATACATATACTTACCTTACCTGAAATTCTAGAAATTGGTGTTGTATTAGGTTACTTATTTATACTATAAATTAAATATCATTACCCTCATTCAAGAACTGTCAGGAGCTATATTTATATATAATACACTATATATATATATATATATATATATATATATATATATATATATACATGAATTTATTTATTGTCCAAACCTGTTAAGCCAGATTAACTTTAATGTCCTCCACCAAGCTCTACGTTACCATGATACAAGATAGGATCTTCCCGTAGCACAAAATCGGTCGTGTTCGCGCATGCCGTCATTGGAGAGTTGTATGCATTCTGTGAAAAATTACTAGACGAAAATAAGTTAAGAGGTTTAATAATAATTACAATAGTCATACACATAAGGATATCTCCAAACTATTTATTAAAGATTATTTATTGATACATACAAAAAATTGACATTTCGAACGTGCAACTCTCCAATGACGTCATGACTTATGCGCAATATCTTATCTTCTTATCATAGTATCATGCACGTTACCACAATGTTTTTAATATCCTTTTCAACAGAAAACCTATGGTATTTACAACCCATTGGAGAGATACATGGAGCTATTAAATATTCTCAATTTTGATATTTTCAATATAATTTTACCCAGTTAAAAGATCTCTTGCTTTGTGATATATACAGATTTTGAAATTTGGAAATTATTAGTATTGTTGAATTTTGCTCTTATTATATTTTGTTTGTTTTTTAGTATGTAAGATTTTTAGTTTCATCGATAGTGATATGGATTTGATATTATAAGTAATTTCAAGTTTTGAATCCTAAATGTGATATTGTATATCCAATTTAAACTGTTAATGGGGTTATCCCGTGTATTAAATAAATAAACAAAAAATAATTCTTCAAAAACAATTTTTTGCAAGACAAAAAACATTTTTTATTTCTGTGCTTCATGTAGAAATTCATAGTCAGATTTGATTTTTAATAAAAAATTAAGTAATGGTGTGGAAATTTATTAGTGTCTTATTTATAAAATTCTTATTGTTTTCAAAAACCGTGTGCAGAGTGAAATTTTGCTATGAACAAGGCGAACTATTTTTTTAAAACTCACCCTTAATTTTTCCAGTTTAAATCAGATCCGGTTTGTTTGTTAAATGTTAAATTAACTCTTTGTTCGAAAAAAATGAATTTTTGCAAGAAAAGTTACATTTTTTTATATCGGTGGTTCAGTTTTCGAAACTTTTAATTCATAGTCAAATTTGAATTTTTAATTAAAAATTTAGTATTCGTGTGGGGTAAAATTAGTATGTTATTTTAATTGCACATTTATCTTATTTATAAAATTCTTATTAGAGTTTTCTAAAACCGTATACAGGCTAAAATTTTTCTATGAACAACACGAAATAATTATTTAAAGCCATATCCGATTTTTTTTCTATGAATAAATCAGTCGATTAGATGGTAGTAGTGTAACGTTTGACCAAATTATGAAACACATCGAATCGTTCAAAAGTTGTGTCTAATAGAAATTTCTGTCAAAATTCACAAATCACTCTGTATATTATTAAACAATGGAAGCAGACACTTTTTAAAGGATTCCCCACACCGACGCGAAACTTTTGCGACGCGAAACCGTTGCGGAACATTCGCAGGCGGAGCACTATTAAATTCATTATATATAATATATAATGGAAACTTACCATTTTCTCCTAGAAATGACCCTATATTATCCCAGACTTTATCCTTTTTTCTTATATTTTTATAATCTTCGTCACTTAAATCATAAATTATAGGATATTGTTTCACAATTTCAATTAGTTTTTCTGTAACAGCCATTTTAATAATTCACGCGAAACTATAACTTGCTATAACTGCAGCGGAAAAAAACCGTGCATGCAGCGTTTCATGAAACGTCAACGCTGTTCTGCCGCGACCGTTCCGGTTTCCGTCCGAACTTGTCTGAACACATGCATTAAGTCGCCGTGCCTTACGATTCGCCGCGATTCCGCTGCGAAAGTTTCGCGTCGGTTTGGGGAATCCTTAATGATTATTTGTTATTCCCCATTGGGGCCTCCATACGAGATAAGAGTATCTACAGTTTTTCATGACTCACCCTGTACATGTATTGTCACTTTTATGGCATGTTTATACATTTTTATAATAATTTTGTTATATATATATATATATATATATATATATATATATATATATATATATATATACAGATTGAACGAAATAAATTCGGAACATAGGAATATAATGTATTTCGGCTAAATTCTGCTGTAGGTGGTTGGCCAACAAAAGATTGTCAAATAATTATGTTATAAAAATCCCATACTTTAGCGGGCTGCTGGATTCTGAACTCATAAAAATTGAAAGCTACACATAAATCTACGATTTATGCTGTCAAACCAGTTATAGTCCAGGAAATGAAGTATTTCACCTCGCAATTTTTTCGTGCCTCGTGGATTGACTTGAAATTTAACAGAAGGTAGGTAATAGCCTAAGGATCAAAATCTATATCGAACCAAAGTGCGCCAAAGCCTAGGGGGTGGTTGCCACCCCATCTCTGGGGTGAAATTTTTTTTTAGGTTTTAACTACACGTTTCGATTAAAAAAGTGATTCTAAACAAAAAATGTGCTATACATTTTTTTTATAAAATGATATTTTTCAAGTTATTCGCGATTGAAAGTAACAACTTCTAGACGAAAAAATCCACGTTTTTAATCGATTTTTCGCGAATAACTCGAAAATGGTGCATTTTATCAAAAAAATTGTGGAGAACAAATTTGTAGCTTTTAAAAAGACAAATAAAATTCATTTTTTAAAATGTTTTTGCGATATAATAGGAACCAAAATACGGCCTATCAATGTTCAGCGGTTTTCTTCAAATGCCAAATTTGAAAGATTCAACGTCAAATAAGTATCGGGAAAATGATGCATTTTTGGAAGAAAACTCACAAAACCTTTTTTAAAGAGCATAAATAGACATATCATAAAAAAGACTCTAGCTCAAAAATTGAGTTAGTTATGATGAAAATAAGGTCAATACCTCATTTTTTACGAAAAAACCGATGACCACCCCCATAATTAAAATCGATCTTCACCCTTCTGCAATTCCCTTTGTACATCTATTGTTAATACGTCCAAGAAGTTTGACCCATTTAAAATGCTTTGTGTTAGAAAAAGTACAGCTTAAAGCGAGAAACGATTTACAATTTCATATTTTTTACCCTTCTTTTTTTAAATATGCCCGAAAATACTGAATATATGAACAAAATAAAAATTACCAAATTGTAGCTTTTTTAATGACTAAAATTATCTTTTATTTAGATTTGTTGTACAATAAATATTTGGCGAGATATAGCCGTTTAAAGCATCGATTTACGATCAAGCACCATCTTTTTCGAGCCCTTTAAACTCACCCCATTTAAAAACCAAGGGTTCCAAAAAGATTTAATTCACAGATCCTTGTAGCTCTTAAAAACCTCAACAAATCGTTTTTGAAGAAACACTCTATCGTTAAAAATTAAAGGAAATACGTTAAAAAAAACAGTGAATTTTTTTCCGGAAAATTCCATTAGTATAGTACAGTACATTTCGGAGCATAATAATCTACAAAACCGGTATATTAGCTAGTGGCGCGTTATACATTCGAAATTTTAAGCGTTCTAATTTTGAAATCCCATACAACAGAATAAAACATCTGCTCATATGTCTATGGCTTGGCAATGAAAATATCAGAGCAACAGATTGGGGATGGTATTCCAAAGATGGTTTGTTATTACCCGTACGCATGAACAAACAACCTGCACTCGATGAACTATTGAAAATTATTTTTTGCCAATGCAAATAAGGATGCGGTGTTTTATGTGGGTGCAGAAAAGTTGGTTTATACTGTAACTCTACTTGTTCTGGGTGCTCAGGTGAAGGGTGCAATAATAGTCCACCAATAATTGAAGATGATGAGGATGACATAGATCACGATGAAGATGTAATTGATGACGAATAAAATTAATATTATAATTGTTTTACCTATAAATGTAAATATTTTCAACTATTTATGTAAATGTATAAGAATATATGGTGCCTTTTTATGTTGATAAAAATTTTTTTGTATTTAATTCTACTTTTTTCAATTTATATCTTATAAATTAGTTTATAAAAACAGCAATGTTGTAAAGGATGATTTTCAAAAGTTGAAAAGTTGCAAAATTTTGGCAAAAAATTGTTTTCACCGATAGCACTCATAACAATTGATTTTTAAGTTAGTTAGTTAAATAGTGATTTTTTAATCACTATTTAACTAATCCTAACCAAATTTCACTCATCTTAAGATTTATAATATTATTTTACAATTTTTGAAAATTAGGGGTAGTTTTCACCCCTAAGAACAATCAGGGTTCATCGGCATGACGTAAACTATAAAGCAGAGGGTGAGTTGAGCTTAATTCCAAATTTTTATGCAAATCGTTCCAAGGTGAAATCATTTTCTTCGCATTACTAATTTTTTTATATTAATCTCTAACAAGGGTCGCTTTTTAAGAGCTGAAATATGATGGAACTTTATTCAAAACCACGAAACCATCATTATTTAATTAATTCAAACCATATTTTATCCATATTCAGGTTTAATATGTTATTTTATAATTTTTGACAATTAGGGGTAGTTTTCACCCCTAAGAACAATCAGGGTTCGTCGACATGACATAAACTATAAAGCAGCGGGTGAATTGAGCTTAAATCCAAATTTTTATCCAAATCGATCCAAGGCGAAATCATTTTTTTAGAATTAGTAATTTTTTTACATTAATTTCTAACAAGGGTTGCTTTTTAAGGGTTGAAATATGATGGAACTCTATTCAAAAGTATAAAATAATTATTATGTAACTAATTCAAACCAAATCTTACCCAGATTCAGGTTTAATATATTATTTTATAATTTTTGAAAATTAGGGGTAGTTTTTACCCCTAAAACCCTTCAGCGCACTTCGGTTCGATATAGATTTTGATCCTTGGGCTATCACCTACCTTCTGTTAAAATTTCAACTGGATACATGCAGGACGAAAAAATTGCGAGGTTTTAACTTTTTTCGAGCTTAATTTCCTGAACTATTATCGTTTCCTTAGACAAACCCGTCTTACGCAAACAACATTGTTGTGAGACAGATAGTTGAACGATATTTTATACAATGTATATACCCAGGTATGGATTTATTTTTGTCCAAGTTTTATATTGGTCCACTATTTCAAATGCAGTTCAAACAGACATGTATTAAATTGTATGTTCCGTTTTAATTTGGTTCAATCTGTATATATATATATATATATATATATATATATATATATATATATATATATATATATATATATATATATATATAATATATATATATATATTACAGTCGGGATAGTATTTGACCTTGCATTGCTTGCGAGCTCCCCCAAAAATTATTATTCTAACCTAACCATTTTTGCTTAATATCTCCGCCATTTTCAACTTTTAGACAAAAGGGTAATGACTGAAATTGTTGCAAATTCGATTTCCTATAATTTCTTATTTTACAAATTTTTTTGTGCTCTCGATATTTTTCTAGTTAAGGGGGTAATAGTTATTAAGCAACAATTAAGAGAATTATATTTTATACAATTTTGAATTATTTATTTTTTTCATAAAATCAATATTTAATGTCGTATCTTCGGTCCAATTTATGGCTTGCAGCTAATGACGTCACTGTCTAGGGTTCGTTAGGCTTAGAACCTTAAATGTTTCATTTTTCCCAAAAAAATTTGCCGTAAAGTTAATAATATACGAGATAATTGAATAATTATACTTGAGCACGATATTCTCCCTAACTCAGAAAATCTCGAAAGCGCGAAAAAATTTTCAAGGAAATTGTACAAAATCGTAATTGGAACAATTTAAAACCTTATGATTTTGTCGAAAAGTTAAAAATGGTCCGAAAGATACCGAATAAAAATAATTCTTCTAAATCCAATCCCTGAGAGGCCTTAAGCTCGCGCCTTTACCGTATACGTACAACTTCAAATATTGATTTTAGCAAAAAAAGTTTAAAAGAATAAAAATTATATAAAATTATGCTTCCTTCGCGTTCCACTATTTTCCCCCATAACTCGGAAAATATCGACAGCACAAAAAAATTTACTAAGAAGAAATTATAGGCAATCAGAATTACAACAATATTTCATCTAATTTACATACCGTTGCACGTCATTATCTACGTCAGAGATCGAAGTTGACATAGTTGGCAAAGTATAAAAAATCCTGACTCCATTTTAAATCAAATAGGTCACATAATTATTGCAAAAGTATTACCATCTCTTTACAACGACTATTTAAATTGTTACGTGACATTTTTGAAATAAAACACACTAATTTGGTTCTAAAAAGAACAGATTTTATTTAATAGGTATAATATGAAACAAGAGGTATTCACTTTAAAATAATAAAGTACAAAAAGTGTCAACACCGCATCTGTCAAATAAGTGTTACCAATTTATGCCAAAATTTCACCTTCGTTCGATTACAGTTACAGTGTGTTCCGAACAAATGTTCTTCATAAAAACGCTTTATAATGCATTTATACAAATTAAATGAAACATATGACTGTGTATTTCTTTGTTAACATTAATAAATATTTTTAAATATTATTTCTACGCGTATATAATAAAATATGTCTTCTTCTTCTTTTGGCATTATAACCCTGGATGGGTATTTGCCTGTCTGGCTATGTACTGCCATTCAGATTTCTCTTGTGCCCTTCTTCTCCATTGTCTTATGTTCATTGTTTTCAGGTCGTCTTCCACGTCATCCAACCATCTCGTTCTGGGCCTTCCTTTTTTCGCCTTCCTATGGGCTTCCATTGTCACATTTTCTTTGTTGTTTTTGCATCGTTTTGACTCTGCACATGTCCCAGCCATTACAGTCTTTGACTTTTCACAAATCTTACAATGTCATAACCTTCATTTAACTCATTAACCTCGTCGTTTCTCCTGATTCTCCATGTACCATTTTCCTCTTGTACCGGGCCATATACTTTCCTCAGTATTTTTCTCTCGAATGTCCTGAGTTTAGCTTCATCTTTTTTCGTCATTACCCAAGTTTCACATCCATAGGTTACTACGGGTCTAATCAGTGTTCTGTAGATAGTCATTTTGGTTCTTTTGTCTAATAATTTCGATGTCATCAATCTTTTATTAGCGTAGTCAGTACGATTCCCGCTGGAAATACGTGCATTAATTTCGCTACTAGCGGAGTTCTTCTGATTGATTTCTGTGCCGAGATATGTAAAGGCATCCACTCATTCGATAGTATAGTGGTCTATTGTGATATTATTTTCATTGTCAGTTATTCTTTTAACTGTCATATACTTCGTTTTTGCTTCGTTTATTTTGAGACCTCTTTTTCTTGCTTCAGGATCAATTTGTTTGAACGCTTCCATTAGTCGTGGCTTATTCCTACTAATGATGGCTATGGCTACATCGTCTGCATATGCAGTAATTTATGGTGTTATATGGCCGGTTATATTGGTTTTTCTGGTAACTACCTCAAGAACTAGGTTAAATGGCATGGTTGATAGGGCATCTCCCTGTCTTACTCCCATGTTGATGTAAAACAGGGGAGTCAATTCTCCATCTACTCTGACTGCGGCTTTTGAACCCTGCAACGTCATTTTTATGAGGCTGATGTATTTCTTAGGTATACCTAGATTACAAGGGTCTTCCAGTATTCTGTCTCTTTTCACACTATCAAAAGCTTGTTTAAAGTCTATATACATACTATATAGGTCTATGTCGTATTCATAAGCTTTTTCTTGTATCGTTCTTAGTATGAATATGTTATATATCTAGTGCTGTAATTCCAGTGTACTCGGCAAAGTGATTCTAAAAGAGAACACAGCTACCGCCTAAATATTTCGTGTTAGTATCATGTGACGTCACGGGCTATGACGCCGATGACGTGCAACGGTATGTAAGTTAGATGAAGTATAAGTTCTTACGATTTGTCGAAAAGTTTATAATAGCCGAGATATTGGACAAAACCAATTCCTAAAAAATATTATTAAATATTGGTTTTAGCAAAAAAATTAAGAGATCAAAAATGTATAAAGTCCAATAATATCGTGAAGTAAATAATAAACAAGATAATTCGATAATTATGCTCCCACCCTCTTCCCTCCACTATTTTCTCCCATGGAACCATGAAACTCGAAAAATATCGACCGCGCGAAAAAATTTAGAAATTTTAGGAAAGCGTAGGTATTTGCAAAAATTTCAATATTTACCTTTTCTGTAGAAAAGTTAAAAAGCAGAGATATTGAGTTAAAACAGTTCTCTTTTAAAATCAAAATGGCGGCTAACGCAACGGTTGGATTCAGTTGCGATTTTAAATTTACACCACTAGTAACCCCCCTAAACGTTAGAATATCGATTTAAATTTGGTGCAGTTCCCCATGCAAGGTTATGCCTTTGTTCGTCTATCCCAATTGGGCTATTAAATAACATCAAAATTTTGATATTTTTAGACCTGATGTCTTTACCGTGTCAAGCTTATTCATAAACGACATTTCGAAACCAGCAAAGGTAGCGTTGTGGATAATTATCCTATCCGTAATCATCGGTATACTGCTTCTACTACTTTTAATATTCGGTCTCATCAAGGTAAGTTTTAAATTGCTCTTATTTGATATTTGATTCAAACGACACCTTTTTGTAGGCTGGTTTTTTCAAGAGATCCAAAAAAGAAGAACTTGAAAGTCTTAAAGCAGCGGTAAGTGTAATAATTTTTTTATATACAAGTATTGTTTTTTGTTGGAATTAGGTTCAAGACCTATTTAGTCAGCCAATTTATTGAATATGTAAAAACAGTTAACTCCTTTAAATTTATATCTAACAATTTTCTATTTATATCATTTGCTCAATTTCCTAACCTTCCCATTAAAAATACCATTGGTGCCGGTACAAAAAGGATTGAACATGGACAAACCCTATCTGCTAACGGACCTTCAAAGCGACTTCTTTTAAACAAACAATACAGGCAAATAAAGACAAATAACATAAAAGGAAAAAAAGTAGGAAATACTATAACTAATTCCTACCATTTCGCATTCACACAACCACTCTTTGGTAAAGACAATTTAAATTTTCCATTTTTTAGTATTATTATATTATATTATATTATATATAATTTTCCAGTAGTTTTAAGACTACTGCAACACATTAAAATACATAAGAAAACATTTTAATACAAAATTACATATCTAAATTTTAAACTTACCTCTTTTACGGCTTTAATAACAAAAACGTCCCGCCAATATTTCTTGTTCAAAATAATCTATCTTATATGAAATCTTATCAGCTTTCTACAGACTATTTGTTTTGACATATCACAATACACAACAATAATTAGTTTTTAAAGCTATTAACCTAAATTTAAAATGTATTTATAAATACAATTTATTAATATATATTATATTATGATCAAATTGTGTAAGAAATCAAAATACATATAAACAAAATTTTTACTCTAAAAAAGCGGCAACACATTTTTGCCACCCGCTGAACTGTCAATAATATTTTAAAATATGTATTTCCGTATCAGTTGCGTATAACTGTCAAATATATTTAATCAAAATTATTATTTTGTGGAATATTAGACTTCAAGATTTATTTCATATTTATATTATTAATAATAATAAATGTTTTTGGTTATTTAATCAATATAATTCTAAAATTTCCAATATAATGATGATTATATTTTTCTGATTATTACACCATGTTGATGCCTATGAAAGATCGAGCAGTTCCGTATGGGTTTCGTATTATTAGCTGTGTTAGGAAAATTTGAACTATAAGGTTGATGTTCTGGAAATTTTAAATACAAGTGACGTCACTTTGCATAAATCGTGACGTGCGAGTGTTTTACTTTGAAAAATGGTATTCGCTACGTGCGTGACCATGGTAGGGATACATTGAAGCGATGCCAGCGTGCGTAGCGGCAAAATATGACAAAATTGGAATATTGGACAAAATATTTTTACGCATAAATTTTATCAAAAATGTGTGCAAATACATGTTGCGTATTTAATTGTCCTAATAATAGCAAAAACAGTGAATGTAGTTTTTATAGGTTCCCAAAGATTACTTCTAAATTAGAGAAAAGAAAGAGATGAATTCGTGCTATTAATATGAAAAAGTAAATATCACATCATTTCATTTTTATGCAATTCAAATAGGAAAAATTTAAATAATTTACCTTGAATGATATTTCATAAGGCTTCAAGCTAACTGCAGATGACTTTAGCTTTTATATCATAACTTTTACTATTATTGTTATTAATTATATGCTCTTTTGCGTGAAAAACTTAATTTTCCAGTACTAGATTTTTCCTTTTCTTTTCCGTTTGGAGTTGAAAAGATATATTATGATGAATTTTGAGAAACCCAGTTTTTAATACTACATTTATTTTGTACATAAACTGAAAAAATATAGTTAAAAAACTAATTTATTAATAATTGTCAATTTCGCATGTATTTAACAATATCAAACATATGTCATGTTTAACCTGAAAATTGGGACTCCAAAATTGTCAGATGAAGGCGGTAGGTGTCGCGTCAGTCACGCACGGAGCGAATAGAAGAGAGCAATAACGTTCTGCTTCAGTATGATTTTTTGTTGTGAGATGGGTTGAAATAAAAACTGTATGGCTTCTGGTTATATCGATACTGAAACATTCAGTTGGTTTTAGGTCATCAAAACTGCCGTCAAATTCACACGTATCTGTTTCTGAACGTTTTATTTTATATAGTTATGCGTTTACTGTAATATGTCCAAAAATGCATGCATGTAGATTAGTATGTTCAGACCACATCCAACTTACCTATTTTATTTTAAAGCATTCTTTAAATTAGAATTCTTTAGTTTCTTCGTTATTGTCATTTAGCTAAACTTGAATCAAAGTTTAGAAAAAACAACAGATAAGTAAAGTTATTAAATAAAATCGAAGGCTTTAAGCGAGCGGTTTAGGGGAGGGTGGGGTAGATATGGACAATTATTTCAGTATTGAATATTTTCAAGATATTTTAATATTCTATGACTGATAATGGACAAATTAATAGTTGTATCTGTTGTCTTTGAATATTTATCGACAAAACTGCGAATAACCCACGGAAATATAAAAAAAAAAACAAATTTTCTTCAACAGTGTATTTGTCCAATTGTACCCCACCATGGGGTTGACTTGTACAGCTGTGGGGCACATTTGGACAATTCAAATAAGCATCTGTCATAGCCTTATAAACAAAAATATATTTAATACACAAAGTACTTACGAACGATATTTATTGTTTATTACATGAATATGTTTTTATTATTATTTAATATTATAAGGAAAAAATGAGGTATCGAACTTTATGTAAGACGCTTGCCAAGATGTACCCATCGTTTCTAAAGGTATGGGAAGTTTTGCCACAATATCGGCTCTAGATATAGTGCTAATATCATTTTAAATAGGATAATAAAAACCATTGTTAAGTTTATATCGTAAAAATTTAATTGTTAGTTCCTCATCCACTAGTTCTCCCCACGACCAAGTTCACAACCGTTTTCTTTGTTGCAAATTTCACCAACACAAAGTCGCCTGCAAGAACCTCCTTATGATCTAAAACAGCCTTTATTTTCTTCTGATCACTGTGCAGATCCATGTCAGAATCTGAATTACAATTAGACATCGTAGCACCTATGTCAGATTCTGAGGAACTAAAATAAGGTAAAACATTAAGAAATTAAAAATTAATGTGAAAATCCCAGTAGTTGACTGTATATCATCGTTTAAAAAAACTTGTACAGAAATTAAAACACTCCACATTTGTATTTAGGTATAAAAAACATATAGTTAAAACTTATTAAAAAGTGTCGTCAAAATTTATACAGTAGCATAACGTGACGTTTTCGATCTAATCAGATCATCTCCAGTGCCTTCTTATTTAAATTAAAGCTAACACTAAATTTGTATTTAACTGGGAATAAGCCACAATTAAAGATATAAATATTATTATTTATTATTGGCTTATTCCCAGTTAAATAGTAATTAATTTAAAATGCCACAAGAAAATAGCTTCAGAACAATACTAAATTTGTAGTTGTGACATCCATATCTGGTTTTACATTATTCCAAATTTAAATTATACTGTGACTCTAGGTCGATAACATTGGATAAAAATAAATACTTGAGGAGATACATGTCTCCTTGTTCGGTTTGAACACGTGGTTCATCTCAATTAAAATGACACAGACCAACCTTGATCCAACCAAAGTTGGTAACAAGTGTACAAGAAGTAAATACTTTTACTCTCTTGGTAATTTTTCTAATAATGCAGTATTTTCGAATTATTTGCAATTTTTTGTTGAAATAATGCCCAAGTTATTTTTGAGATTTTTTCTAAAAAGCTACTTAATGAATTACAAGTTAACGAAAAGCTTTTTAATCTTTAAACCTTCACGTATACGTAAGAATATTATTACAAGAATACGTGGTTTTTATCTTGCTAAAAACATAGTTTTAAATTTAAACAAAGATTTCTAAGCGCCACGTGCTTGTATCGCCGCAAACGTAGGTACACGCTTTTTATTGTATGTAGCGATAGATTGGTCGAAATGCATATTCGATATTTTGGTTTCATGTTTTGAGAATGATAGAATCCATTTATCCTTCTCAAAATATTCGTACTTGTTTTTCTGAAAAAAAAAATCCAAAAATAACTAATTAGGGCATTTTTCAACAAAAAATTGCAAATAACTCGAAAATACTGCATTACTCGAAAAATTACCAAAAACAAATTATTTATTTTGATGAAATACATCTAAAAAAATATACTTGGAGCGATTCGGAAAATAGTTTTTTTTTGTTATAAGTTATTTGTTAATAACAATTTCCGGTCCACTTGGAAAACTTATAAAACTATATATTTGAACTGAAAAAGATTTGATGCGGTAAAAATGCAAAACATTATATTTAGTTGGTTTATGCTCTACTTGTAGGGGTACATCTGCAGCCAGAGTCAAAAGTATCAATTATTCGTTTTCTGCTTTTAAACCATGTCTTGGTTGGGCCATCAGTGTGTAAGTTCGTCTTGACGTTTTATTACAATTTAATCACGGTAACTAAACAATTTAATGTCAATGTGAAAAGATATATTAAATATAAAAAATCACAAAAAAATATACAAAAATTATTATTTAAATATCACGTCAACTATTATAAATATCCTAACCTAACAAAATCTTTAGCAATATCGGTTAGTTTTTTTACAATATAAACCTCACTTTTTCTTTCTTTTGTGAACATTTTCTCTCGTTCACCTTCATTCATATTGGCTGTCCAGTCAGGAATTTCGTCTAAGTCAGCAGCAAATAGGGGCACAGCAATAAAACACATCATCAGGCCATATTTGGAAAATCTTCTCATATGGCTTAGAAATGTCTCTTTCGAAAAAACGTCTGAGTTGCAGCCGAATTGAAAAAGAATAGATGAGAGACTTGAATAGTATACATCCAAAAGATGGTCATAATAAGCATCTCTTAACTCTTTATCCGTGCATGCAAAGATGAAATAAGAAACATCTATCGCTGGCGAAGCACATCTACTCAGTTGCCAGTCCAAAATGCATACCTCAGAGGGAGCTGAAATTCCTTCCTAAAAAATTAAACAATTGAATTAACAAGAATTCGGAAATCCAATTCAGAAATCATTTTCAAAAAAGTATTATTAA